GTGTGTGTGTGTGTGTGTGTGTGTGTGTGTGTGTGTGTATATATATATATATATAATATCTGTTTCTTTTAAAGCCCTGGCATTCAAGGCATCCAAAGTTATTAAAATAAAGTTCATTCACAGAACAAAAACAAATTTAATTTGAGTTGTTTGCAGATACTGCTAATTTTCATTTTTTTAATTAAAAAATGTGTTAATGTGAACTATGTGCAGGGTTTGTTTCTAGTAGTGGTGTTGCGCACATTGTCTCAGACTTGCTATTGTTGAAGACCTTTGCTCAGTGTCTTTCGTCATCCCAAGGACGGGAAAAGGTGACCCCCGACAGAAGTGGAGGGATAGTCTTGTTCCTTCAAGGAGCAGAGGTGGGTGTTGCTCCGGTTCTTTGGGTATCCTGGTCACCTGCTCCCGTTTCGGTGTCCTCTGACAAGTTCAGAGCTGTAGTTTTGTTTGACAGAAGGCTTATAATTTCTTGGGTTGGGGCAGATCCATTTGGAAGATCGCTGCTGAATAATAAATGTCAAAAAGGAAAAGAAATAGTGAAGGCAATTGGGTTGGAGAAGAAAAAAGAAAAATATTGAGAAAAGACACTGAATATAACTATGCTGTTCCAGATGGTGCTCGGAATCAGTATGTATCAGGATCAGTATGACCCTAAACCCTAACCAAAAATTCATCTCTAACTTAGAGTTTTTTATATTAAAAAAAAAATCACTTCTGCCCTCTGCTAGGAATAATCTAATGTTCATAGTATCTACCTATGATTAATTCACTCAGTCTATTATCTCCATCTTCAGATCAATTCTAAATTGCAAATATCTAGTTTCTAGTTTGTTCCTCCAGCCTTGGGTTTTGGGACCATGAAGCCAGATTATGTGTTCTGGAGAATAATAAAGGCTGCTCACTCATGTTGGATGGCTGTTACATTATTATTTTCATGGAACAGCATGCTTATTCTTTTTTTAATGCATTAACATTGGTATGCATGCTGAAGTCTAATGGAATTGGTTTCAACTCATGTTTGCTTCATTTTGATGTGTTGAAACTACTGTCATTTTCTGGTAGCCAAGTTAGCTGTCATCTAGCATATGAGGAGTAATCTGTCTCCTTCAAAGCTGATATCCTTCAGCTGTGTTAAGATAATAATTTAGGCAAGGCCATTTTATCAGGCTGCCTGGAAACTGTCATCTATCACATCTGGACAACATGAAGCTGGAGGAACTCTAATAAACCATCTCAACTGACAGGATATATAGGTACAGAATATATTTACAAAGTGTTCTGCTTGCCGTTTGTGTGTTTTCATATTTAAATTCACATCCTTAATTAACCATGAAAAGTTGCATCCCATAAGTATAATAAGGACTTATAAATATAAATATATTATAAATCTATATTATATTATATTTATATAATGTATACACACACATATTATAAATATATTATAAAATATAAGGACTGTGTCTCTAGTACAGTATCCTAATAAGCATGAACAGAAGCAATAATTTGGCAAAGGTAATCTAATATATAGTTGACACAATTCTAGTTCAATAAATCTTTTTTTAATTGCCTTCCTACCACAGCAAAAGCAGAGTTTATCAAACTTGACACAATGAGCACATCCTTATTTGTAACAAGTTATTCTGGCTCAACCTAGAACATCTATAAAATTTAAGCCAATTCCAGATGATTACATTGCCAAAGTGCTAAAGACAGTAATATTATAAGATTGCTGTAATTGCTGACCAGCAGCATAGATTTCTTAAAACATGGAGAATGTCTTTGGAAGAAGCCACCACCACTGAATAAAAAGCCTACTGAGAATATCAGAGATGTGCTGTGTGTCCTGACAATTGCCCTTCAGAAAATGCCAGAAGAATTTCAATTAGTGGGCAGAATAATGTAGAACAAAATAATGTCAATACATAAAAACATAAAATGAAAATAACTGTGCCTAGCATAATATTCAAATCTGAATTAAATTTACCAATATAAGTGGTTCTATTACCTGAATGTTAGAGCAAGATCCTCAGCTGGTACCTTGCTTTGCTGTCCATTTTCAGTCTGTTTACTAGCATTTACTTTGTTTTTCACATCCAATGAAGACTGGCTCTCCTTGGGAAAAGAAAGACAAATCCACAGTTCACAATGTACTGTAAGCTTGTTTTACAAATGAGGAGAAATTGTGAAGCACCAAGCCAAGCTATACATCCATACTCACACAAAAGCTACAAACAAGGGAACATAATCCTAGACCAAGCTGTTCTATTTTATCAGGCTGGAAAGCTTTCCAACACATGTGCAAGCAGCAAAGACCAAGGAAGTCTATCACCATGGGCTGGAAAACCACTGTCCCCTTTTCAAATGCCATTTAATAAGTGTTGTGTGCAGACTGCAACACAGTGTGCATCAGATGCTTAAGAGGCTGGATTATTTGTTGTAAATTGGAACATTTGCCAACATTCAACTGTGGTAGCTTGCAAAATTATATTTTGGAAGAAAAACAAAATTCTATAAGCTACCAGCTCTGAATATTCAAAATAAATTACTCTTGCTTCAGAAATAGTGGGAGCAGCTAATACTGCCACTCACCAAACAGCAGCAGCAGCAGCAGTAGCAGCATCTTCATCTTCTCTGCCCACCCTGCAAAACACTCACCATGCTTAGTTCCCGGGTTCTCTTCCCGATTTCCCTCTCCACCTGGTGCAGCTCCAAGCTCAGCTGTTCACTTGAGATCATTCCAGGCCACTTAGGAGGTGGCGGTGGGGGCTGTGGTTGGCCTGCCAAAGGGGTCGCTTCCCTCTGCAACAGCAGCCTGTTACTAACCGCCTAAATGCACAAAGCCAAGCACATACACAACTGAGCACACAAAATATACCATGCAGACATGGGAATCAGGCCAAAGTGCAGGAGTATTGCTTGGCTCCTAATGCCCAACCTTCTTTATAAAAACTAATCTATTTATTTATACACTCTATGCTGCCCTTATAGACATGCTCAAAAGTATAATACATGAGATGAAGACAGATAAAGACAAACTTAAATTAGAAATACCATTGTTAAAATATGCGCACAATTCTAAGTTTTATAAAACTAACCATTTTTATTTTAGAGGAATTTCCTAATGAATTTTCGAGTTCTGCTGAAGTTTATGAATTCATCTGTGATAAATTACGGTAATCCAGCTTCCCTGAAAGGCAACTTTGATTTATGTAGTACCATAAGGATTTATCTTGCCCATATTTTTTTTAATCTATACAACCTCCTGGAAGACACCATCTGAAGATCTGGCTGGGTATCATCAATATGCAAATGACACTAAGTTATATTTTTTATTTCTAGACATTTCAAGGAGGCTATGGAACTGCTGTCTGAATGCAGTCTTGAGATGTATAAGGGCAATGAAACTGAAGAAGAAGATACTATGATAGCAAAATTAACTACAATGACTGGAGGCTTTCAACAAGTCCTACATGGAATTGCATTTTTTCCAGAAGTACACAATTTGAAGTTTTCTTTCACTTGGCCTTAATTGAGAAAGCTCAGGCAGCAGTGATGCTTTTTATCAACTTAGACTGCTTTGCTAAATGTGACCCTATTTAGAGAAGCTATACCTTATTTTAGGAATCCACGCAACTGTAAAATCCAGACTTTACCAAAATGTGCTCTACAGGGCTATCTAGAAAAAGAGGTAAAAATCTGGCTGTTTGAATACTGGTCAATACTGTATTACAACTATACTATACTAGCTGTCAATGAATTTATAGATCCAAATTAAAGTATCGTAATTTCAGAAATGAAATCTGATTCAGATTACTTTCTTTTCTTTTTTGGTTCAGATTACTTTCAACAATACCAATCTCTCTGCATTCTGAGGTGAACAACGGAGGCCCTGCCAACAAGCCTGCCTGGCAAAGTAATTGGATCTGCAAGCACAATGAATAGTCTTCTCAATAGTGGCTGCCTATTTACAGTCAAACAACTTCATGACAGTCTTCACGTAACATCTAAAAATTTGCCTGTTGTGTTGGTTGATCTACAATTAAGTTAAAACTTTATGCCATTTCATATTTGATACTATATAGTTTTAACTGTCAATCCAATTTGTATCTTGCCTCCACTGGAAGAATTTGCATCTAAAGATGAGCGTGAATCAGTAGACATGGAGCCAGCCCTGTACAACTCTGAAATGGAGTTCAAGAGCTCTGGAGAATCAAGCCCAAGTTCAGATAGCTAAGACAAAGGACCTCTGACTTCATTCTGAAAGTGATAAAGGTTTTCAGGTCTAGAGATATAATGCATGACTAAGGAAAAACTGTAAATAAAAGTACTCAGAAGTGCAGTCCTGTGTTTGAGGAGGAATCTTTTCTAGGAATGACTGGCAGCTGGGTCTCCTGTAAGAGTCCCATGAGCTCTTGCTTTTAAGCCCCCAGTTCCTAGCAATGTCAGTCAGTCAGTCAGTCAGTCAGTCAGTCAGTCAGTCAGTCAATCAGTCAGATATTGCTACAGAATATGAAACAGTTGACTCCTTGAAACCTACATCTTGATTATAGACTGATTCTAGAATCCTGATGTAGGGGGATACTCTGATTCTAGTCTGAGTTTCATGTACGAACTCTATCTTAGGTTCAGACTCTGCTTTCAGCAGCCAAAATGATTTTGACTGCTTGCAACTCCTGACCTTGATAGCAACTAGATTATTCTACTACTTTATCATGCTAAAAGTAGGATTGTTATTTTAAAGCATTTGGGATATTTTAAATTTGATTGCATGCTGTCTTGAAAGAACTGACTCTAAAAGATTTTAAAATCTTTTAAACAGTAAATAAATGAAAATAAAGCACTGATGTGTATTTAGCTGAACAAAGAAAATACAAAAATGTTTTGTACAGGTAGTCCTTGCTTAACGACACTAATTGGGACTGGAAACTCCATCATTAACTAACACAGTCATATGTCAAAAGAACATGTGACCACACTGCTTAGTGACTGCAGTTCCAGCAGTCCTAGTTGCCATTGTTAAGCGAGGACCTCGAGTGACTGCAACTTGTGACTTCCTGCTGGCTTCCCCATTGACTTTCCTTGTTGGAAGCTGGCAGGGAAGGTTGCAAATCGTGATCACATGACCATGGGGATGTTACGACAGCTGTAAGCATGAGGACTGGTCGTAACTACCTCTTGTTCAGTGCTGTTGTAAGTTCAAACGGTCATTGAACGAGTGGTCATTAAATGAGGACCACCTATATTCCAAAAATATGTGAAATTAAGTATCATTGCATAAATTAAAAATAGTTTAAATATTTCATTTTCAAAATCCTGTTATC